GACACAGCGTAAATCGAAGTGTGATCTTTAAAATGATCCGTACTTTCAGCACCATTTTGCCAGCCCAGAATTTCCTCTTTAGAGGAGCAGACAGATCTGCCACCGCCTCTCTCTGGTGGGCTCCCTTTCTTCTTCCGTGTCGCTAAAAAAACCCCCCCACAACGCTGGGAAATAACTGAGCGCTGGTTACTAAACCCGGGTTTCTTCTCCCCCCCCCCCGGCCCAGGGGGCCCCCAGCCACTACACAAAGAACAAGGGAGCCGAAGGGTCCCGTGCCCATTTTGGACCCTGACCTCTAGCGCAACCTGAAGCAAATCCGCTGGCTTTTTCAGCCTGAAACTTCAGCTTTTGTGCCTGGAGGAAAGGAGACTTTGGAGACCAGAAGGGAGCAGAATTGCATATGCCATACAGTGTGAAAATATACCTAGGAAAACTGGCTGGAGAAGCATATTGTCTTGCACTAATAAACTCCGAAGTCATTATTACCTCATAAACAGGAAGACAGCTGAAGCTACCAGCTAAGGAGCAGCAATCTGGTACAACCACACAAATTATTGCCTACATTTGCAGCAAGCTGTTCATATGTTAATAAAGAGATTTACCAATTTAGCAGTTACTCTTCTGGAAAAAAATGTTCATTATTCTTACCTATATAGGAAATGCATATTTTTGCCTTCCTTTATACACCTTCCATCCATATGCCGATGAATATTATCCTGACCGTTTGGAGAAACCGGTATCATCTTTTTTTCGTTTTCCTTTTTTTTTTTTTCCTTTTCAGGTAGCTACGCAGCTTTAGTGCTACATGGCCATGTGAAGAGAAGGCTCACCCTTCAAGCTTTCGTTTCTAGGGCTGAGTTACATATCCTTAAGAACAATGAGATTTTGGTGAACATGCTGACAGACCCTTAATTATGTAGCCAGACTAACACCGATAACAACAACCAAAAAAAACCTTTCCATAATAACATTGTAAGCTGCATTGTCATGAATGAGACAACGAGCAAATGCAATTTTCTATTAAAGTAATTTTGCTCTGCAACAGTATATGTTTAATGACACTCTCTAGGTCTTGAATTAAATGGCAATTGCTTATTCAGCTGCTCTGTGTGCCCCAAATCATCACAAGAAAAAGGCAAGCCATGTTGCTTTGCTTATAGAGTAATTTAAATAATAAAACACATTTTTAAAACCTAGCGTTTGTTTGAAACCGTCTGGGACAGCGCATGCCAAGAGAGTCATTATTCTTCTTGTGCCGATTAGTCTTGTCATGTTAGCAGAGATAGCAGGAAGAAGTTGCAGCCTTCAGGATCTCACCGGGCCCTGAAGGTTGCAGGTGGTGATTCTGCAGCTGGTTGCAAGATAGTCATGAGGCAGATAATCCTGATGTGTAGATGTCTGTCTGCCAGAATGTTTTACAGCAGTTTTACAGCACAGAAAGAACATTTATAAATGAGCTCCCCACTTTCTACGATCCTTCCTTTATCTAGGGAATACAAAGTTCCTTGAAGCTGGCACAATATCTGTGTGTAACTTCAAAAGGGGAAGAAGGGGGAGACAGGGGAGCGTTATACCGAGGAACTTCTCAGCTATCTCAAATAGTGGCCAGATGACTTTGGATATGTCCACGTGGTTATTTGCAGACCAAAGCGAACAAGCTTTGCCTGCACTTCAGGTTGACGGTGTGCATCTGTAGTTGCATACACCTAATCCATCCCACCAGCAAAAGGCAGTGTAGACGTGCCCCGTAAATTATACCCTCTGTATTGCCAATGAATACAAAAGATCCATCATCAAGGCTAACGTGACATTCCCTTCATGGAAGGGACAGTAGCCTAAGTCATCCTGCTAGTACATGGCTATTGGCATGGAGAAAGTGAAAACTGGGAATAGAATACAACATTTGAAGCTGCACAGGGAGGCTGCAGAGAGCACTTTCAACTAACCGAGGCGTTTATGCTTTCATCTGAGGCCTGGCAACAAACTTTATGTAATGTCTTTTAGAAATTCCTAGAGAAACTGTCTTTTAACATGAGCATTGTGATCAGTGTGTCCACTGAATAGCATGAAAAAGCCTGTGGAAAAAATAAATCTTCTCTGAACAAGACAAAATACAAAAATATCTGTGAATAGCATTGCTTATTCTGATTGGCTGACCTTGCTATTGAAAACCTTAACATAGTGTCAGAGTCTTGCAGTAGAGAGCACAAATTCATCATGATTTTCATGCTTATGGATTTTCTTATCATTTAACCCCATTTTTGAGAGGGGAAACTTGAGACACAGACATGCTAAATATCTTGCCCACAGTCACAAATGGTAGTCAGGAACAGCATCCAAGTTTCATCAATTTTGGTTTCGCTTCCTATCAAATTGTCTGCGTTGTGATCCCTTTGACAGTTCACAAGTGTTTCAGAAGTCAGGCTCTCTGGAGATTAGCATACTGTGCAAATGCTCGTGATTTTCCAGGGTTTTGTCAGCATTTGGGATAGTGCTGTTTAAGGACACCTCAAATATTCGTTTACTGGGCAGCTTTTAATTTGTAGTTATTTATACTCCTCTTGGTACATGATGACTAGAAAAGATTTACTTTTGGGTGGCAAACCTTTATTAATCATTTAAAAATGTAAGTTTTCAAATGCTTTCCCTCTAGAAACCGAGAGCCTTAGCAAATTCGGATGCTTGGTAATGGATGCCCTCTTCTGTTGAAATCCAGTACTGTTGCTGTAGATGCATAGACACTCAACTGTATGAGTACAGAATTCTTTTAATTAATATCAATATTAAAATCTTGCCCTTTTTTCTAAGTAAAAGTAATCATTCTTAAAAGGAAATGGTTACAGAACATGGGCACTCCTCAGGGAGATGCATTGACTCAGGCAGAACTGTAATTTTATTTTGAAGTAAGATATTCTCTTACATGCTCCCTTTGTTTTCAGCTGTTGACTCATGGATACTCTACTATCGTAACCAATTTTATTAACAGCATGATTTTGTTATAAGCCCCATCATTTCCTTCAGAGTTCTGACACAGTTAACACTGGGACTTCTGATTTGGTCCTCTTTCATTTATCATATGTGACTCCTCCGGTTTTTCAAGTACCTCTCCTTTTTTACCTAGTTTAGACCACTTTATCAGAGGAACTGTGGAAAGAACTGTCCCTTAATTCAATTTAACGACAAATTTTCAGGACATTGGGGAGAATGAGGACTCTGACCTGAACAAATTGGTGTATAAAACTGGCACTCTAGATGGATTGAATACACTGAACAGTCCTGTGTATCTCAGCTCCTTGATAAGCCCAGCATCTTATGCGTATGCATGAGCCCAGTTAAGGATGAAATAAGCTTTGAATCTCCTTAATGCTCACCCTGATACATCTGCCTTATGTGGAGAGAAAGCATCAAAGTGAAATAGCCATCCGCAGCAACCCCACGGTCCTTATTATTGTCCCTGCTTTCTATCACATGCTTGCTTCTGCCCCGCTCAGTGCTTGTCTCCTATTTCTTCACCTCCTTGACTGTCTGCCCTGATTCCCTGGGTACCAAGGCTGTTTATAATATCCTTTTTGCTGAGAGAGAGCCCAATCTCCCTCCCTGTGTCCCCAAGAAAAGTTCCAGTCCAGCTCCCTCTCCTTTGGGTTAGTCTTTCCCTTCATCTCTCTACTGTTGTTTTATCCCCTCAGCCCAACAATGGGTGAAACCCTACTCCCTCCTCTCCTGTCCGTAACCGCCACCTATCCGCTCCTCGACCCCCCAGCTCCACTCTGTTGTGTCTAAGACAAAAGTAAAATGGAGAGGGAATCGCTACAGAAAAGTAGAGAACGCATCGAGTCAGGAGGCAGTGGGAGGATAAATGCCAGAAACAATATTTCTCTTTATTTCTGTTAGCTGCTGGGAGTTCATAGTTGAGCAAGTGATTGCTGAAGTCCAGGCAGCTTTAAAGTTAAGTGAAATAGAGCAGAAGAGCATGTTCTGGTCAAGGCCAGTTTGCTATGTCTAACTTTGCACTAACTAATTGAAAGATGAAGAAATCAGAGCTAACACAGTAGCTCCTTTCACCGGCAGCGTCTTTGCAGCTCTAACGCTTGCTGCCTTTGAAACTGCCACTGAGGTCAGATTGGTACACGACTTTGAGAGACAGGTTCAAGTGCAGCTTAGCAGTAAGGGTTGCATGTTTATTGCCTAATCGACACAAATTTAACTCCACTAAAGAGTGACTCAGACATACGAAGATAAAGCTGCATTGCCACATTAGTCTTGGAAGCCCTTATGTGAGGATCCCGACATTTGCTCCAGGTCTTCTTCCTGATACTCTCTTTCAGGGCAGACACGGCTGGCCTCCTAACTGTATGCACCCTTTCATTCTTCTCTTTCCCGAACTCTACTTCTGAGACACCTGGATGCCAGTGTTGCACACCCATTTGACAACATTAACCACATAATTAGCAGCAAAAATATTCAGTGATGCGGTCCCACAGCGCCACGGAAACAGTTTCCATTTGCACGCTACGCCTTTCCATGAAAGGGGCTGAAACAGCATTTTACCTTTTCTCTCCAGGCAGTGGATGGCTCCCACCATTTCAGATAAAAAGCCTGGTATCAAAATGTTTATTTAGACAGTAAAATCTAATTAACATTACAGATGAATTGGCAGATGCCGGTGTTTCCCGAGAGAGCAGTGCAAGAAGTTTACAGCGGTACGATACCTCTGGGTATCGCCAGGCTAACATGTCTGTTCCCCCTTTAAATCCTCCCTGTTCCACTGCTGGGGTTTACCTGGTATTTTCATTGCATCTGCTATAGCATGACAGTGTTGTTGGTCCCTTGCATGAGCAAGGTCTTCCTATCAAGGAATATAGATTATGACCACTGATAGCTGCACAGATGTGACACGCGGATGCCCAAGGTAGAGATGCAGCTAGCCGTTCTGCTCGGTGCTGTTGGCACCCCCGAGCGCTTGAAAGCTCGGTGCAAAAGCAGGGCAGGCACAGCCCGGCAGTGCCGTTTCCGTACAGCTGGGTGGCAAACTGCATGCGGCCCAGCACTGGGTTGCGTCGCGCGAGCTCATACGAACAAGCTCTGCTCGCTGCCCTCTCTTTCTGCTGGCTCCCCGGCCCGGTCATGCCTCCTCCCTCCTACCTCCTTCAAGTTAAAAGTGGGTCCCTTCTGCTCCCAGCATATCCTGAGTTTTGTTCCCCTCCTCCCCCAAACCTTTGTTCTTAAATAAGGAAATGGAAGGGAAAGGCATTTTATATTAAATCAAAAAGGCCATCACAATGCTAGATAATGCTAGACTGTATCTACCCACAAACAGAAATCCCTAATCACAGTTTTTTTGTGGGACGGCAAAGCACAATTTGACCCAATGCATCTTATTTCTTTCAATAGGGCTCCAGCATGGAATGTGAACATCGCTTACAACATGTTATGATTATTACCGTAAAAACTTACAGGTTGCTTTTACTAAGGAAAGAATAGGGCTATAAAATAGGGCACATACTAGGAAAGTGTCCCAAAAATAAATGCTTTATGTTGCTATTTGTATTCTAGCAATTTAACTTCTCACTTTTTCCACATACCCCAATCACGTTGTTCACTGATACTTTTAAATATTGCTGTGTTTAAGCTCCCATTCTGAACAAGGACTATACTGCTAGACACATGCTTTGCATTTGCAGATGTTCACTGAACAAGATAACAGCAATGAAGTGAAAATGGTTATTAACTGTATTTCTCAGTGTTTCACAGAATAGCCCATTGGTTTGGTACAGAGACAAATGGTAGCTCTGAACGTACAAGCGCTTCCAGTCCAGGCAAAATCTTCTCAGCGGAGGTTTGGTGGTTGTTACCCCTTTATCTGTAAGCTGGTTTCAGCTTTGGAGGTAGAGAGCAAGACACTGGTGAAATGATTAGGTCTTATTTTTACTTGCTTGAATTATTTATACTCTGGAAGATTCTAGATTATCCATTTTTATTTCTGTGGAAATTCATCTCTGGATGAGAGAGAGAAATCGCTTACACAACTGACATTAAGCCAGGGATTAAATTAACATGGGTACTTTATACTTTAAACCCATTCTTTGAAGAGTCACCCCACACATCTCTGCCGTATTCACGTATTTCTCCACAGAAGTTTCACTGCGTCACTAGTAACAGCCCATTCCAAGAATGGACTACGAAATTTGTGAAAGTCTTGAATGGTTGCCACATATCCCAGGGAGCCTGGAGGAAGTGCTGGATAGGCAAAAACATCGTATTCTTTGGCTTACTGTGTTATGCAAGTAAGGCAAGCACAGAGCTGAAATGATCATTAATGGAATATAGTACACAGTTCGGCCTTCTGTAACCACTATGATTTAACGATCTCCTTGCCCCACTCACATAAAGAGTAAAGCTCCTTTTACGAATTAATTGCAACACTTGATGGAACAAGATCAGCTATCTAATTATAGTAAATGTAAAATGAGCTTGGTAAATTTTTAGTAGGGGGAAAAGAAACTGCTAGTCTGAGATACAACTTTATTTTTTTAATCAATACACAATCTACAAAATGTTATTACAAGATTATCAGCATGATCTGTTTATACTTATACTGACAAAAACAAATGAATTGATATTTTCCATTAATAACAGCACTGCTTCTGCATTATTAAAATAACAGCTAAGAACTACTAACTCCAGCAGTTAGTTACTGTATTTAGTCAATACAAAGAGAAGTAAGTATGGAATAGAGGCATGGACACCAGTATTGCAACTGAGAAATCTGTCGGGTAAAATATGTGTAACTAAAAGCAACATCTGAAAGCATCCTTTTTCAAATGTTAAGCACCTTCAGACAATTAATATGGAATCCAGAAAAAAGCAAGACGCATAAAGATGACAGCAGCTTGGCGTTATGTTCAACGGAGTGCACCATCATCCTCTCTTCCAGGGGGCTGCTGTACGGCGGCAGCCAGAGAAATCAGTCACAGTCATGGCAAGGCTACAGCTTAGACACCCAGGAACAGTCCCTGTCCTCTCCTCTGTTTTCTTTTCTGGCTGAAATAAGCAAGCATTGCACGTTGCTTATTTACTAGCATCAAGAATCCTCTGCAGGCTTTTTTTTACTTTTTCTATTCATTACCACTATTTCTCCTTTTTTTTTTTTTTGCTTCTCCTTCATTCTTAGAGACTTTGATGCAGATCCCATTTTGTCAGTTAAAAGATTTCCATTGACTTCAATGGGTGTTTGAATCCAAAATTACATCAAGTACCATTTATATACCATTTATATAGAGTAATACTATTAGTATCAGAAAGATTAATGCAAATATAAAGTTTGTCTGAGCAAATACGACACTTAGTAAATAAGTCACACTGCAAAAATAGCTGTTCTCATTGATTTCTGTTCAAAATACAAAATATCCCGAACCCTGCTGCTCCTCTGTGCTTATTAAAAATAATATCTAAATACGGCCCTATAGTAAATGTTAGTAAGCGTCAGCACTTTAAGTGACCAGCATAGCTGGAAGAATTTCAGTGACTGCAGGCCCAAGCAGTAGGCAAGCAGAGATCAGACATGTACTCAGCCTGGCTCCTCACACAGTGCCAACGCACCTCACGGGCCATTTAGAGCTCCAGTCCTGGGCTTCTGCTAGCTAGACACTGAGCATCACGTCGGATTATAACAACTGTTCCTCATCTCCATTCCCTGCCCCAAACACAGTTAAACTACATATAACTCAGATTTCCAAAGAATGAAAACCAATACATTTACTCACTATCGCCTACTGCACCTTTTGTAGAAAATGTCAGCAAATAAGCTGAAACATTGGGAATATTTGTTCAATAGGCTATATTCAAGGACCTGAGAGAATGCAGAAGAAACATTAGAAAGGGGAAGCCAGGGTATTTCTGCTTTAGTGTGTTGCAATAAAATGGGAAGGTTAGAATTTGATAGGAAAAAAAGTCAGACAACGCCATTTTTTCTTTCATGAAACTAGCATATTTTTAAAATATTCTGACAGCAAGGCATACAAATATCAGTCTGAGGCTGAACGGGGCAATTAATTCTACCTTTGACTGTGCTAATTGTCAGATTTAAACTAAAAATCACGCATGAAACAGAGCAACTTTCTTTCAGCGTAGCAATATTTCTATGGAGTGAATTCCCCGTGATCCTGATCCAATTCCCATTAACGTAAACGGAGAGCCTTGCAGGCCTCAGATGTAAAGCCAAGATTCTGCTACATAGCTCTAGCCGTAACTTGACCTTTTTATGTTAATGAGTTCAGTAAGGCTGAGTTATCACTTGCGTCATACCAGATATAATACGGACTCACCAGCGGGACAGAAGAGGATAACGTGGCTGTTCATCACTTCGGCCATTCAAAGCAATAGACGCTATTTTATGGGACCAAGCTAGAAGAAACTACAGCACTAGATGGGCTTCTACCTTGAGATACAGCAGAAAAAGGAAAGAATAAAAGCAGCCACTGCTTCTGTAGGAGCTGTAACGATACCAGGCACCGAACGCCCAGGAAACACAAGCAAAGAAGGGGGATCCTGAGATGGAAGAGTCACAGAAGAGACTGACCGTCCTCTTACTTAAAAAAAGGAAAGACGGAGGCCAGTTGGGCCTGATACGCCCTGATACGCAAGATACGCTTTGGACGCTTAGCACTGCTAACAGATTTACTGAATTAACTGTGTTAACGTCAGTCAAAACAAGTCAGCGGACACGACAGCCTCAGACAGAGGCTAGTGCGGGGAACTGAAACGTATAAGCAGTCTGCTTCCTCTGCCTTACTGAGCGCAAAGAGGTTAATAGATATTGTGACTCCATAGTTACACCAGAGCTGAGTGAATTGCAGAGCTCTGCCACGGTACTAAGTAAATACATTTTGCCCTAGTGTACACTATGTCACCTAGTTCAGCTGAGAACTAAATAAACCAAAATTAAATATGAATTAAAAAAATTGAACATGACTTGAAGGTGCCAATTGTTTCTCAAGTCAAAACACGTATGGAAGATGCAACATCTGAGACACATTTGGATCACTACTATACTAAAGCATTTGCTTAGATTTATGATAATATAATCTGCTAATAAAATGGGATATATAGAGAAGCCAAAATACCGTCACAGCCTATTTGGGGCTGTGGTAATGCGATACACATAAAAAACTTACCCTCAGGATTTAGTATAGAATCTATTACCCATTTCATTCTCAGCTTCTAAATGGGGGGAAAAGTTTATTGTGACGAACTATGTTCATATTATGGCCTTCTGTTTCCTCAGATTGATAATTTTCTCAAGGCATATCCCACATATTTCTACTTTGGGGGAATAACATTTATCTGTATTTTTACTCAGCGTTCATATAAACAGTTACAGCTGTGACAAAATATAAAGTGAGATTTAGTGCATTACTGTATTTTTATTCTCCAATAATTTCAGTCTGAAGTAGGGATAATTTCAGGAAAATTGCAGCAAAAAAGTCTCAGGAGCATTTTTAAGTTCATCATTTTTTTCTCAGACCTGGAATAATACCCTGAAGAAAATGACAAAGGGGATAACGGCTTCGGAAAAATGTTAAAACCTTTCCCTAAATTCCAATACATGTTCAATATCAGTTAACATATTGCTAGGGCTTAGTAGTTCAAGTTGCCTGCTGAAGTGTCACAGCTTCACTTCCCTTGCAATAGTCTATTCCGGTGTTCTTCCCCCACAGAAAAAAAGCTCTTCAGAGCCAGGAGCATGAAAACAATCTCACCTTCCTTGCGTGGAAAGACATGCCCTCTAACTTGAAGTTACTCAAAAACAACAATGCAACATGGCCTGTGATTTCCAAACCAACATCTGGAACTCGAGGCCTAAAGAAGGCCCAGAGCAATTGGTAGCGACTGGCCTTTTTTTCAGTTCTGCTGGTGTCAATTAGCAAAGCTTCATCAAGTTTAATAGACCCAGACTGATTTACGCTTGCTGAGGCTCTGTCCCTGGTTTCACTTGCTGCAGTAGTGAAAAAGATTTGTCTAATGCTGGCACAGAAATTTCAGTCACATCTGCCGTATGTTTTTTTGCCTAAGAGATTACATGAGCAAACCTATAAAATGCTGGTGAGGAAACATTCACAGCTACAGAAAAAGGAGGAATCTTACTGCTGAGGAACTTTTCCCACTCCGCCAATGAAATCACCCAGTTTCTACTCATTATTTGAGGCTCTAGTAGAAAGTAATATTACGACTTGTTCTGTCGACATACACCGAGGGAAGCAGAAACACGGGGGATATAGATTTCCAAACTCCACTAAAAAGTGTAATTGGTCCTGCTGGGCCTTCCACAGATGCTGGTCTGCACATAAGCACTCTGGAAGTTTTTATTGCTGAATATTACATGTCCATGTGATGTGAACCCTTTTGAGTAGTGCCATTAGTTTTCAATACAGAGTATGAGATCACTCCCATGTCATAGATATGCAACAGAAAAAAATATATTACAATCAGTCAATTAAGTGCTCACATCCTACAAATCTTTACAAGGCAACGTTACTTATATTGGCACTTCCATAACGGGAAGTTTACTTGAATGAGAGCTAACCAAACGAGTACCGATTTGTAGAATCAAACCCAAAAGCACTAAAAAAATTCAATGACAGCATTTATCCCAAACTAGGTCATTGCACTTTTTCTAACAATAGAATTTCCCATGGAAATTGATTCCTACTAATATTACATGACGGTGCCTGCTGTCCTTTTTTACTGCATTAGGCAGTTGCCAGCCTTATCTGGATCTTCTCCATCAAGCCTAATCCACTTCTTTTCAATTTCAACCTGTAGTTAGAAAACAAAAAAAACAGGTAGAATTTAGTAAATAATTGGGTACTAAAGGTGTAATCTGCATCAAAGGTGTGCGTAAGAGCTTTGACGTAGAATCAAAAGACTCCCAGGCCCACCAGGCTTCAAAACCGCTACTCCCAGAAATAGCACACTGAGGAAAAACAACGCTGCACTCGCACTTCTGGTTTTCAGTATCATCTTTGATCAGACAAGGAATTATTTTTTAATGATTCTTTTGCTCAAAGTCATTCTCACAAGAGCATGCAAGATACGGTTAGAATACAAATCACGTTTGCTTTGCGAATACTGCACAGGGTGGGGGAGGAACAGGAGAGGCGAACAGGGGGAAGCAATGGCAAACATAATAGTGAAGATACCTGGCAATTGTAAAAAGCTTTCTGAATCACATGTTTCTGGGGCTGCACATCACTCTCTATGCCCAGAGACTTCACTTCCGTTCCTGAGGCACAGGCATCGTGAATCACAAACTGCACAGTAGCAAATGGATACCAGTCAGAAGGTATTTCCTGGTCTGATCCGAGCTCTAGCTTGTAAGACAGACTGTGTGGATGATCTGAACCTTTGAAAAGAAGAAGAAGAAAAAAAAGCAACCACTATCAGATAATTATTTTTAATTTGTTTACAGTGCATGGTTAATCTGCCAATGAGAGACTATAGCTCTATTTTTTTTTTATTAACGCCTAGCTGTTGTATAATGCAGGACTATTCTATCTACAATCTTTTGCCACTTGGGCATAAGATGGCCCCTTACGCCTTTTTGCTCTACTTCACCACACCTCTTACAGTCATCGTAGCTTTACAAATTAATTTGCACAGGGTTTACCAGACCCTGCCAGCTTCTGATTAAGAAGAGAGCACCGCCAACGTAGGGACTGGCAGCTAAATTTAGATTTTTAGGGAAGACTCTCAGTTTTCACTTAAAAATACATTTCTTACTCCTATGGAAAGGAAGAAAAACTTGAAGACCCCGGTTTAGCCAAGGCAGAGGTGCTGCCCTGTGTCCAACAACTGCCCTTCCAGAGCTCTCTGCTGTAGGAATTTCACCGAGGTGTTCATTTCAGGTATGACAGCGATCTTCCGTAACATCATTTATCGCTGTATGTCTATAGCGGGAAGATAAAGGTGCAGCTCAGAGTGCTGCTCCAACAAGATATATCCCAGTTGTCAGGATAAGGGCTAACCGGTCTCCCTTCTACCTTTGCTTTTGCTATGGGAAAAGAACGTACACTGTTTCTTCCAAACAAAAGTACTGCTAAAGGAACTATCATGTTATAAGCCAGAATCATGAAGGACTGCCCAAGCACTGGACTGCATTCTAAATTTCTTTAATCCAGCCTTAAATCCTATTGATCACGTGCTTTAGAGTTTCTTGTATGTGGGAAAGCTAAGGGAAACCTTTTCCTTCTACTGGCACACAAGAACACCAAGGCGAAAACCCTGCTTTCTAGAGAAACGGAGGTCAGCCAGTTCACTATGTGCATGCAGCCAACACACCAAAATGAAAAGAATCCTTTATATCACAGCTGCCTCTCCAAATTCTTCAGGACAAAAAACAGTAATTCTGCCTTTCCTCTCTTCTCCAGTGTTTTAAGCATCAGTACAGAGAACTAACTACCGTTTAGCTGCAGGCAGAAAACATTGGCAGAGAAAGGATTGCCCGTATTTTGTCAAAGGCAAGCCTGGCAGTATATTTGGCTTTCATTCGTTATACTAAATGGATGGCATCTCAAAGTTTAGGCAAAAACATCCCACTCATTATCTTCAGGGGCAGGAATCAATCTCATCTCAGAATGAGGGAAATGCTCAAGATGGAATTAGCACACACTAAGCTTTATCCATCCTATCGGAATAATTAATATAACACATCACCTCCAGGGGCTCACAAGCATTTCAGAAGGCCAAAAAAAAAAAAAAAAAAAAAAAAGAGG